GTGAGGACGCCTCGGGGCGACGTGACGATCTACTTTTTGCTACCGGAGGACAAAGGCGCGCTGTACTGAGGCCGCGATTCACACCGGCGCTTAATCTCCATCGAGCCCCACATCAAGGCCCTCGCCGGACGACGTTAGCAGCAACGGAGCACGGAGCTACACCGGATGGATCGTTACAACCTTTTTCAACCCTCCCTCAACGCGGCTCGTTATTCCGCGCAACAAAGAGGGACTCGAGTGGTGGCGGCGGCGGCGGCGAAAGAAACGCCTAGTCGTCGTGAACATTCTGTTTATCTATAACGGAGTGCTAATTTTGAAAAGATAGAGTGAAATTGCACGAGTCGAATGAGTCCCGACACGTGGACATCAGAAAGTAAAATATTAATAAATCGTTATATCTTCAAAGAAATGTACACTTTTTTCTATTTTCAGAAATAACATTGCCATTCCAATATAAGAATGCAATTTGATTTTTTCTCAGAATCTGAGAAGAGTCGATTTATCTGCAGGACAATATATTTTTTAGGAGTTGCAGTATTCTCCATAAATCGATCGGGGATGCGATTGCAGCTCACAATGAGATGTTTCACCTTCGTAATTGTTCGCTCGTGTTTAGACATTTCCAGATGTGTTTAGATATTAAACACGTCCAATTGAATGAACAGCGCTGGTAGTCGCTCGCCTATCAGGCAATTAAAATGACGCGGGCGTTCATCAGCGGCGGGACCAGTCATGTGTGAATCTGCGAGTAATCGCAATAGTTCCATGTCAGGCTTCGCGAGCGCTTTATAAGCCCCCGACGACGCTGCGATAACACGAGATCTCATTAATGAGAACTGCTGCGGGCGATCCGCGCGGTGGCGCAAGGTGCGAACGCGCATAGTTAGCATTAACGCAGCTTTCTAATTAGCAACTACCCGTGTTTCCCGGTCCGATGATGCATTAACACCGTCTTCAGTCGGGAGGTTTATCCGCCCCGGACCTGTTTCCGCGCGCGACGCGCGCACGCTGATGATGAAAGGTCGTTGTCGTCGATTCCGATGGCGTTTCCGCGCGCAGAATTTACGAGCGCACGTGCCCAACGCGATGCGCAATAATTCGTATTAATTACGGCTGTGATACGAATAAATCGGCGAACGCGCGAGTAAGAATACGAGCGAAAGCTCTCCACGATCGAGCCAATCGGTGCCGAGCAATTTGCCGTTTTAAGATAAGTCGCTTCCAAAGGATGCTGCTTAGACGCGTTCGGATTATAGATACGATAAATTATACATTGCCATAATTTACGGCGACGTCCGCGCGACTATTCAGAGTAATTAATTTAATTAACTTACATATATTTTAGCGAATAATTATGTTTCGCGCGTTTATGTTTCATTCGATAACAAGCGAATATTTTTATTCGCTCGTTTCTGCAAATCATCGAATCTGGAAACGAATGCAGTGAAAGTAAATGCAGACACCAGCAGTGGCCTGCGATTTTTTTACAAACTAATTAAACTGAAAGCGTTATCACTGCAAGCAAAGTGATATTTGAATTTCATGCAAACAGCAGCAGATAAAAATTCATCGGCGAACCGTACAATTACGCAATAACATTTCCAGCCTTTTCCCGACATTTACAGGTGCATTTGAAAGTTTTCGAATATAACCGGCGCTACCGTTCACGCACTTCTCCGAATGGTTATTTATCATTCGATAACAAGCGAATAAAAATATTAATTAGCCGCCGGCTTTCACATCGGTCTCTCTTTTAGCGGACTTTCACCAGCCCGTATTCGTGTCGTTTGTCATGGACGATGTTTTCGATCTTTCTTTTTTGGCTTGTAATATTCTCGTCTTCCATTAACAACACGTAATCGTGAGCAACATCGCAAAGGAAAGATTATCCAATGTATCTCTTTTTCAAACATCAAAACCTGACTTCACCATAAAAATTGTTAAGAAATATAAAACGCAAGACTATCTGGAATTGCGAAACACTCAAGTGTTTGTATCAAGATTTTCTTTTAATGACATAATATTTTCAAAGATTTAATATAAATAAGATCCTACTAGACTTTAAGATCGGAGAATCGTCGAGATAAAAAATTATCAGTCGGAAAATAGGAAGCAATAACTTTTTTTCTCGATTTTTCCTTTTTTCCTTCTTTTCGACAAATCTGTAATTACCTTTGAAAACTTCTTGTTAGCAAAATTTCCTTATGGATAAAATTCATTCGGCTGCACTCGGGCGTAGCAATTATCAGTCGATTCAATCCGCGGAATCGCTCGAGAATCCAGCGCGGATAAGTGTCCGGTGCACTATTTAAGAGATAACGAGATGTCTGGAGCGAGATTTCAGGCGGATCGAAGAGCGCGTTCTCAGATTCCTCGCACCAGGTGATCTCTTTGGGTAAGAGAGCGATCGGAAGGGGATGGAGAACGAAGGAGGGAGACAGCGAGAGCTAGCGGAATTTTACGATGCTCGTTAAAAGCGTCGTGGAGGGCTAGTTATGCTGATTAGATCGAGTTCACCTATCGGGAATATGCAACTACTATACATTAATGGCATCGCTGCGGCGCATGAACAGCGCGTTGCTTGCCGGGGCGACGCCGATCCTCGATTTGCAAAGTCTTAAAAAAAAAAAGCAAAAAAAACAACAGATTCTCGTTGTCGCGAGAAAGAAGAGTAGCGATAACGATAACAGTCGTGTCGCGTAACAGACGCAGCTCGCCTCGCCACGCTGCTGCAGTCGCGTTAACTAACACCGCATAACGACAAAAGGCGGGATAATTGGCAGGGACGAAGAGACCTGACATTACAACGTATTATTTCCTGCGGTTCTGCTTGCTGCGCGCACGAAGCTATCGCGTTCGCTCTGGACCACGGCGAATCTTGGAGCGAATTTTAGTTGATCGTAATATTCGCAGTACGATGGCTATTGTTCATTCATCCTTTTGCAGAAATTTTCATAATCAATTTCTTTTAGCGAGGTTTCGGTTAGTGGAAGCGAATTATAAATTATAATTAATTTTTTAGAAAGAAATGTATTGCGCAAAATAATTAATTTATAATTTATAATAAACTTTTTTTTAAGAAAAATAAGGGTGAAGGATAAATGAATCTTTTCCGCGGCTTCTCCGCGAGGTTTTAAATAAACGCAACGCGCGCATTACAACAACTACACACGTCTAAGTCGATCACGAGATGAGCTCTCGAGGCGGCATATCCGCATCACGCGCAATTAATTTTGCACGAGGATTGCAAGCGCTCCATTTGCATGTCCCAATGGCCGTGGCGCTATTCTAGAGATAGTATCTGCTCATAACCAGAACTCGCTGCGGTATTATATAAACGCTTCAACAAGTCTCGACTGCTGACGCGTAAAATTTGCGAGACGAAAACCACGAGCGTTATAATGAATATGAAACATACGCATTTCAAAACTGCTAAAATTAGTGTCTGATTTTAAATAACTTGAGAGCAACTCCTGGCAAATCTAATCGAACGATGAAAGATGGACGGTGATGCGAATTTTCACGACGCTACGCGAGCGTTTCTGCGAAAATTTTATAACTTTTATAAATGTCCGACTTTCATCTCGCGATTGCAAAAATCTGAGATCATATTTAAATTTAGCGAGACATTTAAATGTCAAGTTTGATCAAATTGCGTAAGAAGAATTCACTTCGCCTGCCCTCGTGACCCGAAAGTAATATATGTACTTGCTCAGCGAAAATATCTCGCAACGCGAGATACTTGCAGTGTCATCGCACTTTTGTTTTCGACCTACAGAACCGTGCATTCGTGACGTTGCATTTGTCGTATTCATGTTTTCGAGTTCACACTCGAACCTACATTTCGGTGCAGGAAAAAAGATTAAAGTGGAACAGCGCGCCGTGCAAAATAATAATGTTCCGGAACCGAAAAGATAATATCACAACGGCCATATCCATCCGGTAAAGTGCAGATGCATGCAATAATAGAGAAGGCCGGTCACGCTTTTAATATCTCTTTCAAGGCAGGGCTTTTGTATATCATAAAAGAGAATAAGCAGCTTTGTGCCGAAACTGAGAAATTGTCTTCTAATTATCTCTGGAGCGAAAAAGTACAACAGAGCGTCTTTTATCATAGAATTAGCAGCATAGTGACGTTTTAAGATAAGAGAATTTAAAGATAAGAGAAAAATCTTTTTAATTATAATAACTTTTAACTTTGAAAGCTCGAAGACTTTGAAAAACTCAGCAGTCATTCAAAATTACGATAATTCGTAGAAGAGAAATCGCAGCTCATTTTCTATGAAAATATTTTAGAGAGAAAATTTCAAACTTTTAAAAGGTTGCAAACATAGTTTAAAATATTTTACAGAGAGGTAAATACCAAATTTAAATAAATTAAAATATTTTGGTTCATCTGCGATACCTGCGAGGAAACTCTGCGAGTTTCTCTTTTATTATGTTTTATCATCGGAGAGCTGATGGAAAGAGGTAAAGATCTAAAGGAAAAAAAAAAGAATTTGGAAGTACGCTAAAAGCGCTTCCACCGAGTACCATTATCGTGCTCCGCTGCACGTCACACGGTGAATCGAAGTGTACACTGCATATCGGCTGAATCACGAATACGCTTGTTGATTTATTTATCAGCGCACTACCCTTGCACGGGCACGCACACACAAACGCGCATTACGGGCGGATACGATCGCTATATGTCGATGAACGTACGATCCATGGTTTACCGTTTCTTATCTCACCTAGATCGAACCTGAGCAGATCGAAGGCGAGTTAATTTTATCGTGGCGGAGAAAGAGAGAGAGACGGAGAGAAGATGAAGCCTTCCGGCTCCGGGCACTCGCGAATAATCGTGCTTATCCTCAAGGAGCTCGTGAGTCACCGGCGGAATTAGGCCTCATCC